CATACATGAAATCATCCAGAAAGCAACAAAAAGCAAGGACTACCAAGTGGTACCTCCGTCGGCCATGTCTCCATCGGCCAGAAGAAGGTCTGGGGGACTACATCGGCCTCCAGCGTAAAGAAACAAATTCAAAATCCAACGAACACAAGCCCATGACAATGGCACCTCAACGTCCAACAACCATGTGTTCACCCTTCGGCCAGGCCGAAGCGCAAAGCAGGGCACGTGTCGCCCTCAAAGCCAAGGACACTCCTCGTCCTCAAGGCCAATGGCACGCATCGTCTCCGGGACTATGACATTCATCATCCATATCACGAACAAAACGAACGCGCCACAAATGTCCGCAAGCGTAAGGTCCATCAATTAAAGTAAAAAACACAAGGGCATGACATCCTTCGTCCACAGATCCAAGGGCGCACAACGTCCTCTGGTCCAGGACCCTCATCGTCCTCAAGATGAAGGACATTCATCGTCCTCAAAATGAAGGACGTTCATCGGCCTCAAAATGAAGGACACTCATCGTCCTCAAAATGAAGGACATTCATCTTCCTCGAAACAAAGGACACTCATCGTCTTCAAACAAGAGATAACCACAATGGCTTCATCAGCCCAAAAGGGAAGTTCAAACCATCAACGACCAAGGGTAGACACTACCTTCGTCGGCCACTCATGTCAGAACACGCATCGTCCGCAAACAAGCGCACCAAAGGAGTAACAGCCTTCCTCATCCACATCAAGAAACGGGTAATGGCCAAACTCAGAATAGGGCCACCAAACACCACGACAGGGAACGGCCAACGTGGTCCCGCATCGGCCAAGAGCATCAAGCACAGAAGTCTACTCTCCTTCACTTCGTCTACATCTCAGCTTAGAGAGTGGGGGACTCCTGATGGAGTATATGGGTCTAGGCCCCAGGACCCACATACTCAGAAGAACAGAAGGTACCACGATCACCGGGTGACCTCGTCGGCCATGCTCTCATCAGCCATGCCCTCATCGGCCAGAAAGAAGGCCACCCAGAATATGATCCAGAAGCCCGGAGAACTGGGTGACCTCGTCGGCCATCCCCTCTTCGGTCATGCCCTCATCGGCCATGCCCTCATCGGCCAGGAAAAGGTCTACTCAGAATATGATCCAGAAGCCCGGAGAACTGGGTGACCTCGTCGGCCATGCCCTCATTGGCCATGCCCTCATCGGCCATGAAAAGGTCTACTCAGAATATGATCCAGAAGCCCGTAGAACTGGGTGACCTCGTCGACCATGCCCTCATCGGCCATGCCCTCATCGGCCATGCCCTCGTCGGCCATGCCCTCGTCGGCCATGCCCTCGTCGGCCACGGAAGTCTCACAGAACCGGATTTTACACTTATTCATTTGTATAGCCCACCAGTGGCTTTGTATTCGGCCCAATAGCGGTCCAGTTGTAGATGGGCCTCCCAAGCCCAAGACTTGGGAGCCCAACCCTAATTTTCTCTATAAATACTCCCCTTGGGAGTAGTTATAGGGGTTACAAATTCATTCTATTGAAGCATATTATTACACTTCTCTCTCTAGCTCTCACTTCTTTCTAGATATACTCTATCAAATATATTATAATATACAATCAAAAGAAATCTTCATGTTTAAGAGCATAGTTCTAAAAAATCATTTGTGTTTAAGCTCATACAAATGTATTGTAAATTTGTAACCAAATGTTTGCTAGTCCATACATTTAGCTTTATCACCTTTATGTATATGTCATTTTTGTTTAGACAGGGTGTAAAAATACAATAGATCAAAGGATGTTAAACTAAACATAAGGAGAAATATGGAGCCTAAGGAAACTATTCAAGATAATATTGTTGAAGTAAAAAATATCCTACGATTCACAAAGGAGTATAAAAATGTGTGTGTGCATGTGTAAAAAATGGTCTCAAAAATTAGGCCAAACATAAAATTACCGGGCAAAAATAACAACTTTAACAAATAATAAATGTATGGTATAAACAAGAAGTTTATGACAAAACTGAAGAATTTTAATAATAGCATAGTTTTAGTACACATTTTCATAATTCTTTACACTGACAAGTTTTCTAGTTATGCCACTGATAATCTATTTATTATAGAGAAAAAAAATATTTCACAGGGATGAAAAATCAAATACGGAGTACTTCGTGTGCACAGGGGCGGATCTAGCTTTGGCGTTTAGGTGGAGCCAAAATTTAATTAAAAATGAATATTCAAAAAAACATTTATTCTAGCAAAAAAAATCAAAGACAATTTACGGTGTTTTGTTCATCATTTGTTGTTGAGTTTTCTTGAATTGTAGTTGACGGCACTACAATTTTGGATGAGCTACTTGAGCCTTCTTCCATTAACCTTTTCTTCAACAGGGTTATAGTATCTCTTCATTACCTTTATTGAAAATAACGGGATGACTAATTACTACACTAATATTAATTAAGTTAATAATTAGATTAATAAGAACAAGTCACAAGCAAATTCATACTATAAATGATGATTACAATTTACAAGTTTGCAAATAATAATCAAATTCATATCAATAAAAGCTGTAATTTAATCATTAACTTGAATTCAAAACACAATAAAATTAAAAGATTAAAAAAACACCTCTTAAGCCTTAGGCAGAGGTTAGCAGTGCACACCGCTGGTGCGCAGCAGTTCTCACTTCTCACTTCTAAGGAATACCTCTAGATGCGCCGTCCGAGACTCCGAGTGCTGAGCGCCTGACTGCCTGAGCCACCGTGCGCCGTCCTGGCCGAGTGGCCGTCCGGCAGCGACTGAAGATGGGCCCGTCCCAGACTCCGAGTGCTGAGCGCCTGACTGCCTGGGCCACCGTGCCGCCGTGCGCCGTCCTGGACGAGTCGCCGTCCGGCAGTGACTATGCGACTGAAGATGGCCGTCCGGAATAGGTTTTTGGCCTTTGGGGACCGGGGTTTTGCGGTTTTGCCGAAGTCGCGCAGAAAGAAAGGAAGAAGCGGATGGCCAGATTCGCCTGCTTTTTGGACTTCTAACTTGGACTGGGCCTTGATTTTTTTAAAATTGAGACTGGGCCTAATTTTTAAACATACTTCGTATATACTAGTTAAAAATAAATAAAATTTGAGCATGGGCCTGGGCCTCCCTGGCCATAGGCCTAATCCGCCCCTGCGTGTGCACTGTGCACACAACGGCGAAACTAGGGAGGCGAGTCGGTGCCAGCACCCACCTTCATCGGAATAGTTAAGATATGTATATGTATTGTTTTGGCCGGCGCCCCTAAAGTCTTCTACCTTTTCAGGCTACCAGTGTAACTTCTGCTCACCGGTGCTACTATTACGAAGCACGAACTAAGGTTTAGAAAATCATTTAATTGGACGACATCGTTTGGTGAAGTTAAAAATGAGAATAAAATCAAAATAAAACGACGGCATTTGTTCAATAAACATTAAAAAAATTAATAACCTCCTTACTCCTTAGGGTATATTTGGTAGTTTTGGAGGAAATAGAGGAAAGCAAGTTGTTGGAGAGGAATGTGAGAAACTGAGAAAGTCTTTCTTCTTATTTGAGAGGAACGGGAGTTTATTTTCTTGATCACATTATATAACTTTATAAGGACATATAGTAAATGGTTACACATCACAAAATGGTGTAAATATTGCGGAAACAATATATCATGAGAATGAATAATTATTTAAATTAGAGTAATAATAATGGGATATTTCAAAATAGAAGTACTATATTTTTCCATAAGTTGAATAGTTAGTTATATGCTTAAAGAACTAATAGTCATGATAGTAATGTTGTAATATTAGTGATTGACCGTGCCAAAAGACGACAAATGATTTCAGAGCGATGGTAACTTACTCCTATTTAATTAGGGGGAAATATTGTACTCTTACATTACAATTTTTGTACTTCTATTTTGGAAAAATTCCTAAACATGAATTATTAATGAGCAATAAATTACTTAAATAAAAATTAGAAAAATCTTTTTGTCAAAATTAACAAACATTAATTGGAGGTGGTCTAACGATTTTGATACAAAAAACAAAGCGATAACGTAATAATCAGGAGAAGAAATAAATTAACATTTAGAAAAGTAAATATATATATCAAGATAATGACTCGATCAGACGTACTCATATCGTCTATGAGTCACAATTCCAAAAATAAGCTGTTTGGTTTTAATTTTTCAAAGAAATGCCAAGTTTAAAATGGCATTATATTTTAAGAAACTAATAAATTAAAATCAAAATATATGTGAACGTTTGCTTGATATCATTTACAATTCAATTACATTTTTAGACAATCATGACCTTGAGTTCTTATTATATAACTTAAAGTGCACCTTTGATTTGCTTGAAATGATAGATTATTGAAGAACGTTACACAAAATAGAATACTGAAAAAGAAAAATAATATTTATAAATGATGATAGAGAGTCTCATGATTGGTACTTGGGTGTGATACCTATACGGATGAATAATAAAGTAGAGAGTATGAATTTGTGGATGTATTTTTTGAAAGTAATTTACGGATGTATTTATGGTACATAAATTGATTTTGTGACTTATAAATGTGTTTAATGTAAAAATGGGAGGGAAATATTATTGGGAGAGGATTCTCCTTTATGTATATAGGATTCTCCCTTTATGTATATAGGATTGTAATTAAAATCACTTTATATATATATATATATAGATATATATGATGAATTCAAATAATTTTAAATTAAACTTAAATGTTAGTTATCTCTTAAAAAACATTCGGAAAATGGGCCAAATAGGCCCTCTTACTGTTCCAAAACCGTCACTTAGACACATCTACTTTTAAAACAGTCACATTAACTCTTCTACAATTTTAAACAATCTATTCGGCTCAAGTGACCGAAACCCACCCCTTATTACCGGTGGAATCCTACGTGGACAAGTACATTTGTCAAATGTGAATTTTTTTCCATGTCATACCGCTTGCATCTTATCCGAAAGGGTCATGTTAAATGTCTTACGGTTGTGGCTGAGAAATTTCAAACAATCATCCATGGAGAAGAGGAGTGTATCCATTGAATTAAGATTTTAGGGTTTTGTCGAAGACCCAAAGGAACCGGCCATCTATCTAAAGCTGAAGTAAGTTCATCTTCTCTCCAATCTTTCAAATTTAGGGTTATTAACCAAGTAATTAAGTGTTCTTCATTGAGGTGTTAAAACTGTAGGACGGATGAAATGTCTTCAGCTTCATGCGGTTCAAATATCAAGGTCACTCTGACTCTTGATTACGAACGAGCCGTGTATTGTGAATGCAGATTGAAATCTCCTTTGTGCGTGACAAGAGGATCCGGTAGCCAATCCTTTGGTTGTCAAGGATGGAAGGTAATTCAAGCTTATTAAGTCAGGGGTTTGGATTTATTTTTTTGTATTGGAAGGTTATTTAGTATTATATTTGTATTTAAAAAATGAATTGCTAGTTGTATGATTTTCTGGAAACAATGTTTTTTGGCAAATGAAATTAATTGTAAGCTGATGCAGGTAGGAGCTGTGTGTGGATTCTTTGCTTGGAAAGAAGACATTAAAATCCCAAAAAGAGAAAATCATGCACTATGGGTTGAGGAGGTCAAAAAACAGATGCGTGATTTGACAGGAGAGGTCATACATGGTTGTGGTGAAGTAGCTCATTTAAAAGCGGTGGTGCAATCTGGAATTGAGGAAAACAAGAATGTGAAGTGTATCTTAATAGCAATTGTTGTAGCAATGTGTTTGTTTCTTTCACTATTACACGGGAAAAATTAAGTCTTGTATTTTGATGATAAGGGGGTTGATTAGCAGTCTAGCAATGTTGTAGCGGTTTAACAGTAGCTAGGTAGGCATGTATTTTCAGACTTTTGTGGTTTCAAGTGTTTGTAGTTGAACATGTAATGTCTGGAAAGTACATTATATGTATTAAACATGTTGTTGTTATGAAACTGAATATATTTCAGAAGTTGTATGGAATTCAAAACTTGTGTATAAAATGTATATTTCCTTACGTGTATGAATGACATTTTAGTATGGTTGCACAAAACTGAAAGAGTAATTTAACATGCAGCCCTATTACTGCACAAAAGTGAAGGACCTGATAACCATTTTGCCAACCTTAAAAAAATACAAATGCAAGCGGTTGACAGAACTTAAAACAACTTAAATGCTCACAGGATAGTCACTTAAACACACTTATACCCCTAGCTAGCTGGGTTAATGAATTGACCTGGGTACATGGTTGGTAATTGTTTGAAGCTACTGTTACCTCTTCTTAAAGTTACTGAAGCATTGTTTGTAATAGAAGGGCATAAGATACAACTTACTGCTGCATTTTGTTAACCCAAAGTTAAAGCTAATGTTGCCTTTTCTTAAAGTTACTGTTGCATTCATTTTAAATAGCAGTAACCTCTAAAAAATCAGCAAAAAAAGGAATATTGTAAGAAGGAATATCCACTTGCAGGTCTTTTGATTCTGAAGCTGGATTGTAAGAAGGAATATTGTCTTTTACTTGCACCTTAGATTGGACCTCTGAAATTTGGACCTCCTCTTTTTCAGATTCTGAATAATAGCTGGGAGGTTCATCTGAGTCATAATATTGACTAGATACTCCCTCATCTTCCTCATCTGAAACCAACTCATCACTGGTCTTCTTGATCTTTACCCAGGCCATTTGCTTCTCTCTTAGCTTTGCATCATTACCATTATTTCCATCATCCTGCTCCTCCTCAGAAGTTTGATCACCGGCTGAATGTAAAAGCTCTTCCTTCTGTACTTCTTCTTCAAATTGTGGCATTTGATTATGCACGTCATTCTCTGTTTCCATAGGAACTGTTGTGTCAGCACCATGCTCTGTTTCACTCCTCTCTTCTGCCTCTACAAGTATCTCATCATTTTTAGTTGAAGACAAAGTAAAGGCAGGAAGTAGTTCAGCCTCATCAATACCATGCTCCACATAAATGTCAACTACTCCCCAATTGGTTGCCATCTCAATAAGCTGAAGAGTAGTTGCATCATTTCATAATGGCTTTAAATGTTCCATCTTCTCCCGAGGTAGTTTGAAAGATAAGGATTCGACCTTATTGTATGCATCCTCGGTGATATATTTGAACAGATGCAGATAAGAAATTCTATCTCGATCAAGAGTAATAGTGTGCACTTCACCATTTACGTATGCCAATTCTGCTTGTTTAACAAAATTCCCCCCATGATGCATTCTTATATTTGCTTCCAAAACTATTCTAAAATGTAAACAAAGTAACCAAATATCTTTTATTGAGCAAATGATATTTTTAATGACACCAATGTAAACAGATTGATCAAACACCATTCATGTGAACATTAATGGGAAACATGTGGGAGTTGGAAGAAGAAATAAATTATGGTAATCATTATGGAAACATGTCCTAACTTCACATCACATGTATCGAATGACTTTGGAAACCCATAAACTACAAATTAACAAAACCAATTAACAAATTACTTTTCCCATTGGTTGGATTTGTCATATACAAACTATAACTAAATAACAACATCATGATAAACCCATTTTCAGATATGTTTACTTAGTTCGAAACAATGCCAATTCACATATATTAGTTCGCTGATGACAATGGAGGCGACCAAAGTGAAATCCCTACAATTTTCTTGTCAGCCATGGATGCCTTCAACCGCGATTCAGAATAAAACCCTAACTGCGAACAGCGAACAAAGTGTATTATGCGACTTCAACAGCCACGTTGGGATTTTTTTCCCACGCCATCATATTGCTACAGCCAGATCTAAAAGAACAGCATAAAAACTTGTACACGTAGGCAAATACCCGGGATTTCCAAGTGCTTAGCCGGTCATTTGACGTATTTGACTTTATTTACGGAGTAAGTGTACGAGTGTGACTGTTTTAAAAGTAGGTGGGTCTAAGTGACGGTTTCAGAATAGTAAGAGGGTCTATTTGGACCTTTTTTCCAAACCATTTTAAAGAAACTTACAAATTGAAGGTCTTAGAAAGGTATCATAACAGCCCAACAAGAGGGTTATTGACGTTCAATTCAATCAGGATACAAAGTATTCTAGTATGGCTTAATATGGCTTAGAATGTTTTTACTTGAACTAAAAGTTGTTGACTAGGTAATGATTGATCTTTATGTATTTTATAACTATAGAAATCTTGTTTGGTTTGATCTTTTTAAGTTTGGTCTTATCTGATTTGATCTATTTGAGTCTGGTCTATTCTGATTTGATGTGTTTAAGTTTGATCTGTTTTGATTTGATGTGTTTAAGTCTAATCTGATCAATAAATGAGTGAACAGTGAACAATCACCCGGAAAACACTAAAATATTGAAATTATATAAAATTGGAAAGTCTGCTTCCCTGATAAAATGGCGGCCGCTGCCGCACGTTTACACCTCCTGTATCCCTCTCCGATCAACAAGTCGCCGATACTCATATCTGGACTGCGTCGCTCCTTGAGGCTTTTCTCCCCCGTCAACGCCAAAATCCGCTCCGCACATCTCCACACATTCTCCTGCACTACACCACAGTGCTCCTCCTCATCTGACGCAGTTCCGGAAGTCAATTCCTCAAATCTCTCTGTGCTTATAAATAGTCTTATACACAATTACTTACTGAGAAACGCCCTTTATGAATTTTGTTTTCTATTCAGGCTTTGGTGACTTCTGAATCGAGTTCATCCATAGTTGGTGACCTTCTGGATTACCTCAATGAGTCATGGACTCAATTTCATGCTACTGGTATGATATAAAGCTCTTTAATTTCTTTGTATAATGTGTGAGTGCGAGCCTTGATAAGGAAATTTCTGTGTACTGATTATTGATTAACTAAGATAATAATGTTGAGATTGTAATTTGTAGCAGCTCTGTTACCTCATTTGTTTTCCTTTTTTCATACACTTCTATAGTTCTATGCGTGGTATTATGAGGAAAATGGGGTGACTTCTAGACCATTATAAAGTGGTCTTGATTAACAATAATGGAGCATCATGTGCCTCTTTAATTATTTAGAAGCATAAAACATTAAAACCATTCTTAAATGGAGTACTTTTTTAGCCACATTTTAAGAGACAATAGGTCATGGCAAGTGAACATTTTTAAGAGTATTTCAAACCAATAGCATTGATTGTTAAATTAACTAGTTAATACTATAAAATTCATCTCACTGATGCTAATCTGTTGAGATTACGGTAATGATGATGATAATGGTTTAATTTTTATAGCGGAAGCAAAGAGACAACTAATTGCTGCTGGGTTCCATTTGTTAAATGAGAATGAGGAGTGGGACCTCAAGCCCGGTGAACGCTACTTCTTTACTCGGAATATGTCCTCTCTGGTTGCCTTTGCCATTGGGAAAAAGTGAGCAAATATAAGTTTCTTCTATTTGGGAAGTGTGACTTTCCTCTTTATCAAGCACAAGTTTGTCACTTTCCTCTATCACACACAAGACTGTTAGCTGACTAATATCCCAGAAATGTAGTTTCTTCCATTTGCAATATAAATATGTCCTTTGTTCTTTTCTCTTCTTCTACATTAGTTCATCTGGATATCTTGAAATAACTTTGCTTTTTCTTTATTCCATGTTCAAAGAATGCATTTTTTATCTTTAAATTAGGGCTTGTTTGGTACAGCTGCACCACTACAGTTTTCAGGTCAAATTTAATAGTTGCACATTATAGGTTTTAAAATGTATTAAAAAAGCAATAGGACTCATAGCAATCATGGTATTTTGGTATCTGTCAACAAAAACTGAAAAAGACTTTTCGGGTTTTCAGAATTTATTTTATGTTTTCTAAATAGCAAATTAAAAAACAAAATAAAAAAGTGATACCTAACAAAGCCTTAGGTAATAGTTTCTGAGTTTTTTAAATTATATAATCATTGACTTTTTTTCCTCTAGATTAATGAAACACACATTAGTCCTGCAGGTATTCAGTTGGAGATGGATTTCATATAATTGCAGCTCATACAGATAGCCCATGTATGAAGCTGAAGCCAGTTTCAGCATCATACAAATCTGGCTACCTTATGGTCAATGTGCAAACGTATGGTGGCGGTTTATGGCATACTTGGTTTGATAGAGATCTTACTGTAGCTGGGAGGGTCATTTTAAGAGCAGATGATGGTTCCTTCTTGCATAGGCTTGTCAAAGTGAAGCGACCTCTCTTGCGAGTACCAACTTTAGCTATTCATCTAAACCGGTTTGCGGTTATATGTGAAAGCTTAGCTGTTATTGCAAGTTTTTTGGCTTAAGGGAATGCAAACTCTCTGAGTCTCTCTCTGTCTCAAAAAGAGTCTCTTGTCAAGAACTCTTTTGTCCTAAAGATGGTTTTGGAAGTCAACTTTCATGTTAAAGAAAAGTTCATGTAAATGCAAGCGGCAAGCAGCAAGCGGTTTAGTCAATTACCAAATATGGTAAATAAAAAAAACAAATATGGTAAATAAGTTATAAGGGTATACATGACCGTTCATATATCTCTAAAATAAAAATTGTACTGTACTCAAACAAAGCACTCTTTGTGGGACAGAGGGACTATATTTCTTGCCATTTTAATATTCATATATTCATTTTATTTTCAGATTTTTTTCTGGGTTCCTCCCTTTCTCTTCGCTGATTTTCTCCTATATGGGTATTTAGCAATGTGAATCACGATGGATTTAAGCCGAATCTTGAGACTCACCTGGTGCCACTGTTAGCAACAAACCCTGATAATGTTTCTGATAAGACTTCAGGAAAAACTAATGCATCATCCTCTAAAGATGTGCACCATCAACTTCTTCTGCAGGTTCATGTACCCCTCTTCAGATTATCTCTACTGGTTTTGGCATTTGTCCGGGTGAACTTTCTCAAGTTGCACTCAGTGGCGGATCCAGAAAAAAAGTTTATTGGGGGCAGAGTGATTAAGTGCCCGTTTGGTAACCATGATTTTTGACTTTTCAGGCTTATAAGCCAATTTTTTCACCAAACACATAACTTTTGGTTTTACGGGTTGAATTGTGCAATATTAAGAAAAAGTAAGGTTGAAGTTACTTTTATGGCTATATTGGCTGAAGTTACTGTAGAAGGACATTTTAGCTATTTTTTCATACAATTTTTTCTTTATTTTATTAATAAAATGTATTTTAAATTATTATTTTCCACAAATCAGCAGAATCAGCCAATACAGCCACATCACCTAGAACTTCATAAATTTCAGCAGAATCAACCAATACAGCCGATTTGAATATTACCAAACGGGCTCTAAAAATACTACTTATGTGTCTTGTTTCGATTTAACATTATTATTATAAATAAAGTGATTCGAAGAAGTAAAAGTTAAAGTAGTGATTTGAGTATAATAATAAGGTGGAATATTGTGGATCTCATGTCTTTCCGGAAGAAATATGACACTATTTCAGGATAACTTAAAATGGAAAGTAAGATGTGTAAAATGGGATGAAAGGAGTACTATGTAAAAAAGGTGGAACAAAAGTAACATACGAGTATTATTTAACATGTTATGTAAAATGGGACGGAGGGAGTAGTAACATATTATTTAAACTTAAAATTTTATTTATTAAATGACATTTTCTAATAGATGTAAAAACATATTCTAGTAGATGAATAACAATTCTAGTAAGTCATCAAACAAATTCAATTTAGGGATGTACTCTAATAATCATAAAATAAAGTAATAACATAATAATTATAATATTATAACAAGTTTAATAACACTATCTGTTACGGAGTATTCATATTTAATTATTTATATAAAAAGTAACATACTCATTAAAAAAATTAACATACAACTTTAGAGTTTAACAATTGCAGAACACGTACAGTCACACGTTCTGTACTAACCCAACGATCAACGTAGCTCAGTATCTTCTTTCCTATTCAGACGTAAATCAGAAACTCGAACTTAGTCAATCCTTAAGTGTGTGTTCCGGTTTGAGTGATTTTGAAATGTAAATTTAAGATTTACAACTTTATTAGGGGCAGACTGCTGAGTTATTGGGGGCAACCAGTTTTTTTATTGGGGGCAAATATCTAGATTTTAATATTTACTAATAAATTATATGGGATTACTAGGGATTTATGGAGGCAGCCGCCCCCATAAGAGTGTTAGTAGATCCGCCCCTGGTTGCACTTCATATTATATAGGAGATCTACCAGAACCTCGTAAATGGATTGCATGATGATGCATATCTTACTTGCATATTAACATATCATTAGACCAAGCTGACCATGGGAGCTCATCATATGTCATGTAGTTGAGTTGCATGTCATAGTAATCCAATTGCTTCCTGGTTTTGCTAGAGTTCTATGACACACCAATATTCCACTGTAATTGTAACGGCAATGGCATAATAGACTCCTTATCTTCTTGTGTTTTGACATATTACTTGGTAAAATTGTATGGCTAAAGTATAGTTTTCCATCTCATTTGGCGTTTTTTTGCAAACACAATTGCTATAGAATAATGAATTTGGAAAACTCCCATCTTTAAGTAATATGCAGAGCTTATAGATTATAGTTTAACAATATTATTGCTTCAAGCGATCTTGAGTATTCTTTTTTACTCGATTCATGGAAAGAAAGTATAGCGATATTATGAACTTCTGCATTTAAAGAACATGGCTTATCACATTGCCTGTTTCAGATCTTGTCTGACGAATTGGGCTGTAAGGTTGGTGATATAGCCAGTATTGAGTTAAATATTTGTGATACCCAACCCAGCTGCCTTGGAGGTGCAAATAACGAATTCATATTCTCTGGAAGACTAGATAATCTTGCGTCAAGTTTTTGCTCATTGAGGGCTCTTGTAGATTCATGCTCTTCTCTTGAAGATTTGGTGAATGAGCACAAAATCCGAATGATAGCACTTTTTGATAATGAAGAGGTAAGTGTATTATTTTAAAATCCAAGATCCAATACCGTATTAGCATTTTGAATTTATATTTTGTGTCACTATAAAGTATCAACGTGCAGCATACACCACTGTAATGGCATATCTTATGTAAAGTGGCGTCTTATGTTGGTTTTATGCTATGATGATCTTCTTATCACAATATGCTATAGGTTGGATCAGATTCATATCAAGGAGCTGGAGCACCAACTATGTTTGAGGCCATGAGACGAATAACTGATTGCTTAGGTCATCATTCTGTTGGAGAATCTACTTTTGCTCGTTCAATCCGCGATTCCTTTCTTGGTAAGAGTTAGCTTACCTTTGTCCTCAGTTGTATTGATATCTCTAAGCTCATTGGTTGATGATATTAAGAATTAAGAGTAGTTGCAATGATTACCATGTGTTGCAATATGGGCAATTATTTCTTTGATCTACTATTTAAGCTGGTGCTGGTCGGTCTGGACCCCTGAAATGAAATCGTAAAAATGCTTCAAAGGAATGAAGCTCATTTCATCATAGTCCTCCATCCTCATAAAATATAGATACTAATGTAGACATTGAATATGACAATTTCTATATATTCAAATTCAAATTGAAGATGTCATGTCCTACAGTTTATCCTAAAGAATACAATATTCAATAAAGGGGTAGTTATCAAGTATTCTTATAAACAATGCACTTAATTAGCTGATAGAATAATCTTTAAGGCTACACAGAATTCATTTGGAACTGTGTACAATCCTTCTCAAGATTAAGCATTAATGGGCGTGTGATATTTTAGACAACGCACTTTACATGCAAAGTAATTGTGTTTTTTTTCTCTCCAGGTTTCACTTGTTATACTGTATAGCTTCGTGGTTCGCATCAAGTACAGCTTCTTTCATAATTTTAATCTGTATGAGTTAAAGAAAGCTTCTTGTCAAATACTTTTCATGTAGTGTCTGCTGACATGGCTCACGGAGTTCATCCAAATTTTACTGAAAAGCATGAAGAGCACCACCATCCAGAGTTACAGAAAGGTCTTGTTATAAAGCACAATGCAAATCAGCGATATGCGACGAGTGGAGTCACATCTCTCCTTTTCAAAGAAGTTGCGAGAATCCACAACCTTCCTACTCAGGTGATAGCAATCAGTCTAAGGGCTATTTGGAAATGGGGAAGATGCTAGGGATAGAAAATAAGGAGGAAGTGTAGGAGAAATTTGGAAAGAATGAAGCATAGGTCGCGGGGAATAAAACACTGGTTCAACCTCAATATACTTATTATTGATATTTGTTTACAATCATTGTATTTATCTATTTCTATTGTAAAAAGACTACAAAATCCAGACATATGTAAAGTTTTAAAAATATTAATTATATTTCCTTTTCTGAGGCAAACCAAACACAGGAAAGTGACTATCATTTTCCCCTTTCCCGAACAATTTTTAGGAACCAAACACACCTTTTGTGTCTTCAACCAGTCATCTTTGATTAAATGATTGTCCTCCATAATTATTTTCTGACCTGATAAAATTGTATAGGACTCTGGGGGTAGGAAGCAAGGGGTAAACTAGAACTCATATATCCTGAGCAGTCATGACTTTTTTTTTCTTTTATTTATAGCAAGTGTCTTCTTCAACTAATATAAAAATAGTTTTATTCCAATGCAGGATTTTGTGGTGAGGAATGATATGGGGTGTGGATCAACTATAGGTCCCATACTTGCTTCTCGGGTTGGTATTCGCACTGTTGATTGCGGCATTGCTCAGCTATCCATGCATAGGTACCATTTTTTGTTACTTAATATAAAATAATATCTTAGGAACCAGAAATATAATTTGCTTGTCTCCTCTTGTATTTGAGTGGTTAAAGAATGAGCATGCACTTCCCTAGGTACTATTCTGTGTTACAATAACTTGGCACAGGTGCATGGTACTGTAATATCCAGGCAGGGGTTGAGGAAAAATCTACTTTTACCCATCATCAATCTGGTCCATCCATAGGTAAACCCATTCGGTGGATCCAAAAAGAAAACTAATACTAATGGATTGGATCCAATCCATCTGTTTGCATTACACGGATGTTAGTGATAAGTTCTTTATTTTTTTAATCAGTTGGACCACGTTAGGGCTCATTGATTTTTTTACAGTAATGTTTTGATCTTTTTATGTGTCAATGTATGGATTGCTCAATCTTATTCACATAAACAGACATAACATATGTTTTTAATCAGTGAAAACATATTACTAATGGATTCTCTTCTATCCAATTTTGAATCTCATTGCCACATTCCCCAATTCAATGTGCCAAACAAAAGATTAGCTGATGAAATTAATCTTACATTATCACCTGAAAAGTATACCAAATATGTTTTTATGTTGTTTTGCGTTACTGCTCACATCATCCTGATCCTCTTGCATGGACTATCATCCAACACCCCTTCTTTGTTGTCATAATGAAGTGTACGAGAGATGTGTGGAAAGGAAGATATTGATATTGCATACAAACACTTCAAGGCATTCTATCAGACATTCTCAAGCATTGACAGAAAGCTGCATGTGGATGCTATGGACCATTCGTGAACGAGAAGGATCACTGCCGCTTGCATTAATGGAGGGGCTCAACTGCCTCAACACATGTTGCCTTATCTTTGTTTCCCTAATGGCTTTGGTATTAGTCTTTAAAGTCCTTAATCCAGACTTTGATTTGGTCTTGTAATAGCTATATAAGAGTCATAACTTTGCAATAAAAAACGTCTTTGGAGAATAAAAATGGTAAACATCAACAACATAGCCAAATATCTTCTCTATACCTAAGGTGAGAAGGTTTGATTAGTTCCCCAAAACTACCATTGCTTTTGTTCTTCATCTTGTGATGTCTCTAAAAGACCCTTGAATGATATCTTTCTTGTACCTTGATGCTTAGCTATTTCACATGGTATCATCGGAGAATGAGATATAGGTAGCAATAACACGTTGAAAACATTATCGGACATTTTAAATCACCTCTAAGGTAACGTAGAGCAGAAGGCGATATATCTAACCCCAACAATTACCCAAGAAGGTAAGGTCTCAGTATTGACACCAGTACGTAGTGCTTGATGTACACCTCGGGTTACATCATATTTATTTACCCTTCACACGGACAAAAAAAAAATACAAATACAGACATTTTTTGACAAAATTTGTTTGTAGGAACAAAATTTGTCTATATGAACAAAATACACATTTGTGCACATACACTTTGTGTGTGTATACGGATAACTAGTGTCTCTGTACAAACATTGATTTCTGTGTTAATCACATTAATTGGTGTGCTTTTTGCAGAAAAAGTGAGATTAGGTATTTAGGTAATTAGGTTGCACAGAAATCGTTGTTTGTATAATATGTATACAAACACTAGGTGTTTGTATACACGCAAAGAGTGTCTATGCACATATATTTTTGTCTGCGCGTAGATATGTTTACACAAATTTTGTTCACTGACAAATTTTATCAAAAAGGTGTATTTGAACTTTTTTGTCTGTTTGAAGGACAAATAAATAGGACGTAACCCGGAGTGTAATCCAGTGTAAAAATAGAATTTTTCATGTTGACACTCATTTCTTTGGCATTGTTGAATTTGTTGCACCATCACATATTGTATGGATGAGTACAATCATTTTCAATAGACATCTCTTATCCTTGGCAATCAAACACCTTCAAGTAGGGGTGGAAACGGACCGGGCCAACCGGCCCGGAACCGGACCGACCCGGTGAACCGGTTGGTTGGCCGGTTCGGGCCACCCGACATGGTGGGATGTCGGTTCGGGCTCGGGGCCTTCAAAAGGTGAACCGGTCCGGCCGGTTCAGGCCCGGGCCGGGCCATTTTTTTTTTTTGAATTTTTTTAAGTTTTTGGGTTGGGCTGGGTATTTTGGGCCATTTGAGGTGGTTAGGGTTGGTTTGGGGGTGAGGGGGAGGGTTGGGGGTTAACTAGGAAAAGCAAAAAAAAAAAGAGATTCGAGGCCCGGCCCGGGCCGGACCCGGAGGTTACCCGGGCCGGTTCCGGGCCTCCCCTTCCTGAACCGAGGCCTGGCCGGGCCCGAACCGGAACCGTTCGATCCCTACCTTCAAGGAGATAACCATCGGCTACTTGAGTCTAGGGGTCTCCTCTTGGCACTTCATGCTTTTCAGTGACGACTATAAGATGGTGGTGCTCTTCATGCTTTTCAGTGGTTTTTATAGAGATATATTGCGGAGAACTTAGAAGTGGATATTATAGAGATACGTATGTGAAATTCATCTATTGAGTATTAAAAAGTTAAACATGAGATCATCATATAATTAATGGAAAATCCTAAAACGGAAAATGCTTTAGAGCAAAATGATCATAACGGCATAGGACTTTTAGATTCCGGTGGCTGCATTAATACACGCATTCATCAGGAATGTGGTGTAAATTTAGATCCTACAAGTAATCTTTCTGGAGCTTTTGACTGTGAGGAAGTTTTTAATGGTCTGAACCTTATATCCACCTGAGATGAATTTAGTGGTCATGTATATGAGAATGAGAAGAGGGTTCCCATTACGACCGTGGAAGATCTTTGGGATTCATATGCAAATGCTGTTATTTGTCAAAAAAAGTTGTTGGTCACGCGAGAAAATTGTCCGCCTATTCAGAATTTGAACACCCGAAAAAGAATTTACAAAAAAAAAAAAAGAATCAACGATCACATCTTATGAGAAACGAGATCTCAAACACGAGTAGAGTTTTGAAGATTTAACTTAGGGTTGAAGATCGATTTGGGAGGACTTTCTTATATACTATGTGTTGGGTATTACTTTTTAGTTTTAAGTTTAGTTTGTTCGCTTTTTGTTGTTTCCTTTTTTTCTCTTTTCCATGTACTTTCCGTTTCTCTTTTAATAAAGTTCTATTTGTTTTAAAAAGATTTCCTTCACAAAGTGTGTCAAATTATAATACTACCCCATTTTTAAACAATGCAACAATTTGAATTTTAATCGATCCTCGTGTTTTATTTTGACTACATTTTTATCTATTAATGAAGGGAAAATTGTCAAATAGAATCAATCTTCTATTAGTTTCAATTCATCACTTAAGTTCTCCAACTAAAAAAAGCATCATATAAGTACTTTTAAAATATAATCAATCAATCCATTTTGACCTTCTATAGCAAGTTATTTTAAAAAAATAATTTCTGAATATTGATAAATCTTACAAAATTCATATAAATTTGAAAAATAATGTAATAATAATATAAAAATATTTTAAATGTAAAATAGATAAATTATTTAAAAAATAAAAATAAAATCAGAAAACTGAAAAAATAAAGTTAAAATGTAGAAAATATACAATAAAATATGTACAAACTTTTTAAATAGATGTAGAATATATATATAGTTTTAAAAATTAAAAAAATTTAGCTTTGACATTCTGAAAGTTTTCACTATTTTATCTATTTTCTTCAAAATTTAACAAATTTCAAAGTTTTTAAAGCCTTTTAATATAAAAACTTGCTATTACAAGTCAAAAAATGATTTAATGATCAACTTGTATGATAATATTTTAATATATGAGCTGAAGTGATGTACTAGAAACGATAGAAGAGCTTATTTGATCATTTTTTCATTAATGAGTCAGAAATTTAATTTTTGAAATTGTTCATAGTTAAATTTGTCTCATTTTAATTTTTCAAAAACTAAGTGATGGATAGTGTACCCGGGGGGTAGCTTATCCGGGGGATTATCGCGGGGAATAACAAGAGAGAAGTCAGAGCAAGTAAGTATAGAGAGAGAAAGTGTATTTAGAAAGTATGCAGCGTTTATGACTTGTGACTTGGTTACAAACGGGGAAATGGGGTGCTATTTATAGTAGCAATAAATGCCGGACATGGACACGTGTCAAGCGTCCATTGGCCGAGAGGTCACCTCATCTGGTTGGCGCTGGCAACCGCATGTGGCCGCATTTAATGCGACTGTTGGATGGGACGTTGCACATGGTACGGTGATCTGTACGCATGTGGCGCAGATATCATGTCGGGGAAGGTGCCCTCGGCTGTAGAGGACTAGCCGAGGGCACCGAGTACTGGGGACCCCCTTGGCGCCGAGGGCTCCAGGTGCCGAGGGCTACTGATTTCCGCCGTTTTTCTCCCAGTTTCTCAGTTTGCTTGAAAAACCCGTTCTGTGAGAGTTTTGAGCCTTCGCCCAGGGGCCGAAGGCTCCCCAGTGCGCGCTGTGGGCTGCTAAGTGCTTGGGGGCGTCGTAATTTGGGCCTGCTGTGCTTCCTGGGCCGGTTGGGCCTTTATTGGTGTAGTAGGAGTCTGTGGGCCGGGGGTTCCCGGGCCATATACTCCATCAGGAGTCCCTCACTCCTTTTGTCGAAAGGTACTTGAGGGAAAAGGAGTAATTTGTGTTTGCCCTTTGATGTCGTCCCGTTGTAATCTCCGAAGTTGGTGAGGAGTTGTTGCTTTCATGTCCCTGCCGAAGGCGGTCCCTCAGTTACCCACATGTCGGGACTTGAGGGATTGCTTTGCCGTTTGTTGGAATTTTTCACCATTTTGTAATTTAATGATTTTCCCGAGGGGGTCCTCCAGTCCCCCACTCCTTGAGGCACTTGTAAAGTGGTGAAAAGGAGTGAAGTAGTTGCGTTGCTGTTGCGGGCCGAAGGCTGACGCTTTTCGTTTCATTTTTGGGGGGATGCCTCGTTAAAAACCTCATTAGGAAAAACCCCGTGGGAAAAAATCCTAATGAGGGAAAAAGAGTGGACCGAATTCCCCCAATGATGAATCGAAAATGTGAAACCTTGGCTCAAAATGGAGAATAATGGTAATGCCGAAGGCTCTCCTTGTTCCGAGGGCTCCTGTGTTGGTCAGCCGGAGGGTTGTTGTTGATGTCCTGGGAAGTGCCAAAGGCGTGTCCCTCAATCTGGGGATCGAGGGCGTAGTGGATGATGGCAGTAGTTGAAGTGTTACCGGGGTGTTTCCTGGTTGTTGAGTAGTCGATGATGAGGATATCCGAGGGCTCCCGTTACCTGTGTGCCGTAGGCTATCCGTCAATGAGGCATACTCCCCGGGGCTACCCGGCCCTTACAGTGCTGAGGGGGAATCCCCGAGGGGTGGGCTGATATGAAGCCTTGGCCTGTTATGTACTGTGTGGGGCACAACCCGGGGGCGTCTCTGGGTAAGTGTACCCGGAGGCTCTCCTTGATGAAGTGGAGTGAAGTAAAAGACCCGGGGCTCCCAGAATATAGCCGTTGGAAATATAGCGGTTGGAATATGTAACGTCAGGATATAGCCGTTGGGGGGGTGCCACGTGGTGCGTGCCCGTTGGCTGCCCGTGGGCGGGCGTCACCGATTGGGTGAAAACTCGGTCGGTAATGATGGCGATCCAACCGGAGGCCCGGTTTCCAGGCCCAAGCCCGGATCCCAGTGCCTATAAATACCCCAAGGCCAGACTTCCTTCCCCTTGTGCGAAATCCTTATAGCGAAGCTCTGCCAAATTTTCTAGAGAGAGAAACAACAGCCCTCGATCAGATTGTAAGGTCAGTTCTCCATTCGCACTTCACCTCTTAGCTAGCTGTCTTTGTGGCCTTAGATTAGGTGTGTAGCTTAGAGCACTTAGCGTCTCCGAACCCTCGACGTAGTATAGCAATGTCTTCATAGAGTGATTCTCAAGACATCTCGGGGGTGCCCTCGATGGAGGATGAAGTCCTCTCGGATGTGGAGTCCTCAAACGAACAGTCCTCGGACCAGGAGGATGTTGCGATGGCGGTAGAAGTGCAGAAGGAGCTGTTGGCTGAAGTTGAAGCCGAGGGCTTCGAGCAGGAGGTGGAAGACGAGGAGCTGGCCTTCGCCGTGCAGGTTGCAGAGGAGGAGGAAGCAAAGGAGAGGACGAGGGTGACCGTGGCCGTCCTTCCCCCTCGGGGTGCTGGTGAGGCAGGGAGC